CTCAAATTCTATATATATATATATGTATTTCTTAGGTTTGGATAAAGTATAGAAGTGGTAAAACCCTATCTGGTTTTTATTGCTTTGTTCCCTTTCTGAAAGTCAGCGGACACTTACCCGGAAGCTGTAAATAGCAGATCTTACTGCGCTTCGGTTTGGGTCATGTGATGTAAAACAGCCTTATTTGATCATGTGACCCGCGACATCTCTACATTTGTGGGGGGTGGCATCAGCAGGTCGTTCCTTCATTTTGATTAAAGCAGCCTTTCTCAACCTTTTTGCCCTAGGGGAACCCTAGAAATAATTTTGAGGTCACAAAAGACCCCTGCTAAAACCAATTTATTAGGGGCCAGTGGAAAAAATGCCCCCCCTTACAGAGAGCTAAAAAGATTATTGCTGGCAGTGCATGCACTTGGTAGAAGGTGGCTGGTGGAGAGTGACGCCGCCCAGGCATGCAGGAATGACACTGCCGCTCTGGCTGACGTCCCACCCAGCTCCTGGCAACTAGTGACATCACTGGTTGCCAGGAGCTGGGCGGGACACCGGCCAGAGCATCCCAGGTTACCCGGTTGCTAAGAGCTGGGCAGGGAGATGGATGGCCCTTAGCAACCTGAGATGCTCTGGCCAGAAATGGGGCACACTGCAAAACAGCTGTTTGCAAATAACCGCACAGCCAGTGATTACCTGTGGATGACCGCACATGGACACAAAGATCACATGAATCTGATAGAGGAATCATAAGACTCATGAGATCAGTGAGTCCCATTTGCAACTGTTAATGGGATTGTACTGACTTATCATGCCTTGTTCTGCACTGGTCTCTGTGTACTGGTACTTTGTTACCATGAGTTTTGGTGCAATTTCACACACGTGGAAGGGCATGGTGCAGCAAGGTGCATTGTTGTGCAAGAATGAATGGCACTGCAGCACATCTTACAAAGTGACACACATGTTGCTGACTTGCTGTGCTGCAGCACATGAAAAAGTGTGTCTTCGCGCAGGTTGCTGCAAAACACATATGTGAATAGGGCTAAAGGAAAGGAAAAGGTAAACAAGTACAGCACTGGTTGTAAATAAATCAACGCCGTTAGATAATATTTTTTCATATTGTACCTCCAGTGATGTCAACTTGAGAGAACTATTTAGGGCTCATTCATACGAGCAGCTATAGTCCACATCTCTGCACTGTGCTATGGCTGTATACACACTTGGCAATTAGCTGCATCCAGTTTGTGTGCAGCTAGAACCACCAGCCCTGGATGCAAAATGTCTGCGTTCAGGGCCAGTCGGAAGCCCTATTAACATAAAATAACTGGTATAAATGGTTACATGTGGGAGCAGCAGTGTCGGCCATTGATTTGTACAGGGTACATATTTGGCCCGCGGCTGATGGCTTCGGCTTTTCATGCACTATCAGTTTAACATCAATCTGAAATGATTCTGCAATCATTCAGAATTACTGATAGATGCAGTTTGACCTGCAGTTGACCTGCTTCTGCCCTGCATTTGACTTGCTTTAGGCCCCGGGGTGGTTCGGCTGCTCGGATCCGCCAACATAAACGATCCCATATATGCGACCGATCGTTCCGAACCGCCCCCCGCCTGAACTGCTCCCTGTACTATTTTTGCAGGTTTCATCGGCGCGGTTTTGGGCATTTTTAATTGTGTTTCAGCACTGAAATCGAATTAAAAACTCCCAAAACCTCTCTTGTGAGATCAGCGCGGTAACGGCACTGATCCGCAACCACCCTGGTGTGAATGGGCTCTTAAGCAGGGTTTGCATTCCGATAGACTTGTATAGCAATGCAAAACCCAATCAAATGCCCGCTGACACAGGGACTTAATAAAGTTAGAAGCGGGGAAAAAAATTGTCCACCTTTTTCACATTTGCAGAGTCCGTTCTGATCAGAAGGGGATCCATGAAAAGATCCTCTGCTGAATCAGAGCTGAACGGAACGGATCTCACTTTTGTGACATTTGTGCTATGTGTATGATTAACACAACTTCCATCTTCCTCATTCATTGCACCTACACATATTATATACCATTTTTTAAAAGGACAAAATGGGCTTAAATTTGATGTGACATATGCATATATATACATTCTTTAAAAAAAAATAAAAAATACAAACAAACAGAAAGTAATTCACAATAAATTATTTTATTTGTCCTGATTTATAGGGTATATCATATGTCTAGGATTTCAGTTTATTTTTGGAGTTAAAGGTCACAAAACACAAGGGGAGGGGAGATTTATCAAAATGATTGCCCATGGCAACCAATCATCTTCTCTCTTCATTTTGTATAGTTAAGATTTGAAAATGAAAGAGAGAAGCTAATTGGTTGCCTTGCACAGCTGCTCCAGATTCGGTCTGCTCCAGTTTTGCTAAATTCCCCTATAAGTGCTCTGATAAATTCCCCCCAATGTATACAATATTGGTGTTTTCTTTTTGTAATAATAGAACCAGTATATCTTCTGGTAATGAAATGGTTAAGCCAGGAGCGAGCAATCTCGGCACCTTAGCTGTGATGAAACTGCAAGTCCCATGAGGCATTGCAAAGACTGCGGCAGCTGCAGAGAGGACTCCCGGAGGCAGATATATAATGGGATTTGCAGTTTCACCACAGCTGGAGTGCCGAGGTTGCTTGGATACAGGTCTCTTCCGAGCACATGGCCTTTGTTTTCTGGCGGCAACCAATCAGAGTCATTCTTTCTCTTTCTCTTCACAGAGCTTGGGGGACCTCTGGTGGCAAGTTTGCATATCGTGTCAAGCCAGCTCAGCCCGAGTCATTCACTTTAATACTGACAATTACTAAAGCAGCTGTAGTGCCATGGCAGCCCTGAAGTACGCCGGCCTGGACGACACAGACAGCGAGGATGAGATGCCACCTGGATGGGAGGAGAGGAGCACAAAGGATGGATGGGTGTACTATGCTAAGTAAGATGGGCCACAATGGGAGGTCTACTATATGGCACCTATGATATATCCAGGGAGAGACCTGCAAAGCGTGTGACAATGAGATGTATGCTGTTATGTATTCTATTTATAAAGCCTTGTACATAGGGTCTTCAGTATGTAAAGAGCAATGGCAGGAATTTATCAAAACTGGAGCAGACAGAATCCGGAGCAGTCTCCCAGGGTAACCAATCAGCTTCTCTGTTCAGTTTGTTTGGTTAAGATTTGAAAATGAAAGATAGAAGCTGATTGATTGCCATGCAAAGCTGCTCCAGATTCTGTCTGCTCCAGTTTTGATAAATTGCTCTCAATGTGTACAGCATGAACAGGTCCTATAAGATATAAGCCGTATGAGATGGGAGGCATCTCATTAGGGGGGCGGTAGAGGAGTGGTCATCACAGCAT